AGCTGCAGTGGCTGGGAGCGGCCACTGCACTCCAGTCTGGGTGACAGAGTGAGACTCCAACTCAAAAAAAAATATATCTGTGTTATAAATAATTCATTAAAGGCCAATCAAACCAACGATTATCCCAGACCTTGAAATCACATGTTTTATTGACTGTCTGCTCTGAAAGTTACCTAGCTGAGCATGGTACCTCACAGCTGTAATTCCAGGACTTTGGGAGGCAGAGGCGAAAGGATTGCCTGAGCCCAGTGGTTCAAGCCCAGCTTGGTGAGTCCTCGTCTCTACAATAAATCAAAAAATTAGTCAGGTGTGGTGGCGCACACCTGAGGTTCCAGCTACTTGGAAGGTTAAGGCAGAAGGATCACCTGAGCCCAGCAGGCCGAGTGTGCCACTGCACTCAAGCCTGGGTGACAGAGTGAGACTCCAACACACAAAAATAATAAAATAAAACAAAAGTTACCTAGAGGGCCAGGCTCGGTGGCTCAGCCTGTAATCTGAGCACTTTAGGAGGTCGAGGCGAGTGGATTGCCTGAGCCTTCGGGTTCGAGACTAGCCCAGGCAACTTGGTGAGACCTCGTTTCTACAATAAATCAAAAATTAGCTGGGCGTGGTAGCACGAGTCTGTAGTTCTGGCTACTTGGAAGGCTGAGGTGGAAGGATCCCCAGAGCCCAGCAGGTGGATGCTGGGTGGCTGTGAGCGTGCCACTGCACTCCAGCCTGGGCGACACAGTGAGACTCCAAATCAAAAAAAAAAAAAAAAAATTAAATAAATAAATAAAAGTTACCTGGAGTGACAAATGCACAAACACCACCTTCTCTTGAGAGAAGACAGTGCACAATGTCCAGCCTCCCTTTGCCTACCTTTTCTCTATGATACTCTCATGTCCTTATCTCACCTCCCCTCCCGTGACAGACCTGACCCCAACCACCTCGACACAGGGATGGGCCAGTCCTTGAGGATCTTCCAGACAAAAATCTGGAAAAGCAGGACTCCAGGGTTGTGGGAAGCTTTTTTCTTTTTCGCGTGGACTAAGTTTCCTGGACTATGGGGTTAAATTGCAGAACAGATGTGGAAAGCTGGGGAATGATCAAAGACAGACATTTAAGTTTAAAATGTCAGTGAAGCTCTATCAACAGCTACCATGTACTGGGTGCTTAACACACACCAAGCACTTTACACATGGTGAAGCAACGCTATAGGGCTGAGCCAGTCACCCATTATACAAAGTAGAACACTGAGGCTTAGACAGAGAAGGAACTTGCTCAATGTCAGGGAAAAAGTGGGGATCTGATATCAGGCCTGATTGACTCCAAAAGCTATGTTCCTAACCAGCAGGCTTCTGTC